CGGCGGCACAGAAGCGCCCGGCTCTGCGCCTCCCGGACGGCGAGCCCCTCGCCCACCCCTCTCCTCCCCGCCGTGTCCGGGCGACGACCCCTCCCTCCATCGAGACTGGAGCGTGCTGCCGGTGTTGGCCGCCAGCGGGAGGAAGACGTGTTCTGGAAGGGGCACCCCGGGGTGGGGGGTGGTTTGCTGCAGGGAAACGGGGCACAGGCAGCGGGCATCCCGCCCACCTGGGGACCGACCGGGTGCCTGCAAACGTCAGACACCCGTTCACGGCGGAGTGCCTGCCCGGGCTGCGGCCACGCCGACTCCTCCAGACAGGCTGCCTGTGCCAACCCCTCCGGGCAGACCGGGCCAGCGCGGGGCATTACCGCTGCTCTTGTTAGGACGGTGTGACCACCGCCGATGTGTTGGCTCTGGTTCCCAGTGTCCAGACCCGAGGCACCGACAACCCCGGGAAGTGGCCTCGCCTCCAAACCAGGTCCAGGCACCTCGCTGGACCTGCACCCCCGGCCGGCTGCCCCTGAGTGCTGGTGTCCTGCACGGCATCGGGCCCACAGCGCCGGCCCGGCCGCTTCCCTGGACGCCGGCCGTGTCTGGAAATACCCCTCACAGAGGCGGGCTGCGCGGCGGCGGCTACGAGAACAGGGCTGGTGGTCTTTGGTTAGCGCTCTCCGCTGAGAAAGAGCTTTCGGCCGCCACCGCCCCGCCCCGCGTGGAGAAGAAAACCATTTCCCTATTCCCCATTTCCCCTCCCTCCGAGGTTCCCAGAGCCCTGCCCCCACCTCCCGCGCCCAGCCGGCGCCTTCCCGCTCCGCGCCCCACGGGCTGCGTGTCGGAATTCACCTTGCCGTGACACTCGTGCGTCCCATCGAGGTGCGGCCGTTTCCACCTCCACAGACCGCACGCCCCTCGCAGGGTGAGCCCCCACCTCGGGCGGGACAGCCTGCCTCTCAAACACCCCCGCCGCGGCGGACACGTGCTGACCGACCAAGGGACGGGGCCCCCAGGGGTGCTCCCACCTGGTCCCCGTGCAGCGTGCTCAGGCGCTCAGCTGGGTGGGTGGGTGGGGACAGCAGACCCTGCTCTTCCGGACCCCGGTCCTTCCGCAGGGGACCAGTATCTGCCGGTCCCTCACTCGCCCCAGACCCGTCGAAGACCTTCGCACCAGCGACCCCCCTTCCCCAAGTCCCCGTATCCGAGTCCCCGCATCCGACTCTGTTTGCTTCTCAGCCCCTTCCAGCCAAACGGCGCTGCCAGCACAGCCCTGCTCTGAGGACCGACGTGTGTTTATTCCCCTCACAAACACCGGAGGGAAGAAAGGGACCGGATCGTCGGGGAGGGGGAGGGTTTGGGGGTCAGCTGCCGCACACCCATGACCCAACACCCAGAGGCAGGGCAGTGAGTGGTGGGCGCTCCCTCCCGGGGGTCCCAGAGCCTCCGGGAGCTGGCCGGAGAGGTGGGGAGGGTCTCCGGCGGGGTCCGCCCGGCCCCGGGTCCTGCTCCTTCGTTTCCCGGGCAGGCGGGAGCTCGTGGTCCGTGCGCAGAGCCAAACCCATGGGGCGAGCGCCCGGGGAAAAGGGTTAGCAGCCCTGCCGGGGCCGGAAACCGCTAGGTTCTGAAAGCAGAAGAAGCTGGGAACTGAGGAAACTGGGAAAAGAAACCAAAGAAGCACAGGACTTGTTGCAAAAGTTTCCTCCACGTCCTGGGCTTTCTCCCAAGGGCCCTGTTCCCTTTCGGACGAAGCTAATGAGCTCTGTATTGGTTTAACACTGGAGGAAGAAAAGAGCATTTTTTTAACCAAAAAAACCCCACATTTCTTGTTATTTAAAAACATATTTGCTGTTTCCCAAATGCTGGGGGAGAAAAAGGGTGCTCATGTTCTTGCTGTCTTACAGATTTCTTTTTATTGGAAAAATTTACAATGCTAATGACGATAACCACGGACACACATCACCTCACTGACGTTCCCTGTCCCATCTGTGCCACTGTGGGGCAGGGCTGCCCTGCAGGTGGCAAACCAAAGCTCAGAGAGGTTAGGTAACCTGCCCGGACTCACACAGCAAGTAACAAGCAACACTCGTGGCCATATCACATCCCATCTGCTGAACCCTCGTTTTCCTCTACGAAACTCGGTTTTCCTTAAACGCCGCCGCCCGCCCGTCCCGGGCCCGGCCGGAACAGCAGTGCCAGCAGCGCGTGCGGAAAGCTCCGAGCCGAGCAGCAGCCCCTGGTGAAATCCGCAGACGCTCCCTATTCCTTGGGTCATGTCGTCTCAAGAGAAGGGAGATGGGCAGTGGAACAGTTACTGTGTCGGTAAACTTAGCTCCACGTCTTAAACCCTCGGACAGTGTGAAAGCAGCGACATAGAACACGTACACGTTCCTAAGGGAGCCAAGTTACTTTAGACCCATAATCTTTTTAAAGTAGCACACATGTTTCAACTTCCGTTTCCCCTGCAACATGCCTTCACTGTTGCCTTTTACTGTGGTGGGCCTCTCTGGTCTCCCCGTGTCCACGCCCAAACCCCAGGTGGGGACCTGAGCTCCTTCCGCCCCACCTGCCTGCAGGTGGAGGGAGCGGGCTGCGGGCCGCTGGCCGCTGGCAGGTTGGTGACCCATAACAGTTACCACTCACAGAGTCCGCCAGGTGTGGTCTCCATAACGCACAAACAGTGCTGCGAGAGGCAGCTGACATCAGTGCCACCGCTTTATAGATGGGGAAACTGAGGCGCAGAGAGGTGAAAGGCCTCGCTCAAGATCACGCAGCACAAGCTGGGCGCTCGTCGCATGCTCTGCTGCGCCGGGGGGACTTGCCTTGGCCGGACCGCCAGGCCTGAGTCCTGGGCTCCCACCCCTGGCCTGGGGACGCACCCACATTTAAAGAGACACTCCGGGTGGAAGGTGCTGCGACATCCAAGAACCCCAGGAGCCCCCAAACCCCTTAGGGCTTATTGCACCTCACGCTTAGGGCCTCCTTTAACCCGGACAAGAACTCTGAACTGAGGCGGCACTTATTTCTTTGGCAGGTAAGAGTGGGGAGGCTCAAGGGCGTTCAGTAACTTGCCCAAGGTCATGCAGGACAGGGAGGCCAGGACGAAAGCCCTAGGCCTGTCCCTAGTCCTGCCTCCCTGCGCCCCGGGCAGGGTGCCCACCGGGCCCGCCGGGCCCAGCAGAACTTCTGTCGGGGGGAGTGATGGGCAGGCGGCCAAGGAACCCTCGGGCCAGGCGCTGTTCGCGGTCCTGGAGGGTGCAAGAGGCTGCTAGGTGGGCCCAGGCCACGCGGGTGGGTGGGTGCCTGGGCCCTGCCCCCCGCAGCCTCCCCTGACCCCAGTCCTTCTGCCACACTCAGCTGCTCAGAGGGGACATTTCTGGCACGGTGCCCTCGGCTGCTGCTCTCTCTACCTGGGAGACCTGCAGGGCTGGCCTGCGCCCCTGCCCCCGGAGGTCCGCGGTCCCTGCCTGGATCTCCCGCAGGAGGTCTTTCTGCCTCGCTCCATCCACCCAGGGCACCAGGTCTCTCCCGCCCGCAGGTGCTCTCCTGACCGCCGCCGGTCCTGAAGGACCCTCATCTCGGGGTTGTTCCTGCTCTGCCCCTGCCCAGGCGGAGCGGCGCCTCAGACTGATGGGTCCCTCGCAGTGCGAGGAGGCGCGTTGTCAGAGCGCATCCCTGCTCTTACTGAGACCCGCCGCGCCCTGCGTGCGCGCTTCGGCTGGGCTCGGGGAGGGGAGTCTGCGGGGCACAGAGCCGCGCGGAGGGATCGCCTTCGCCGCCGCCGCCGCCCGTTCACACCTGCGTGTGCACACGGGCCAAGATGGAGGGCGCGATCCTAACTCCTGCCGCGAGCAGGTGGGAGGGAAGAGAGCCAAGAGGTATTCCATTGGTTGTCTGGGAAAGTGAGCTGCACCTTCCCTCGCCTGCGGAGCATCAACTTTTCCCTCCCCCTCTCGGGTGGGCACTCCTAACTTAGGGGAGCCGCCAGAACCGGGGAGCCACGCGCCCCATTCCCAGGGAGGTGGGGCCGGGCGGGCAGGGGGCGCCCCAGACACTGGGGAAAGTGCTTCCTGGCGCCCCGAGTCCCGCGAGTCCCTGAGCTTGGCGAGCACGCGGGGCCCGAGCTGGGCGGCCCTGGGCGAGGAGTGGCGAGGCCCGAAGGCGTGGGTTCCCTCCTCCCGCGGGCCCGCCGGCCTCGTCCGCGCCGGGTCCCCAAGGGTTAAGCGCAGGTCCTGTCGCGCTGCGGCCGATCCCGCCGCCTGGTCCGGGGTTCAGAGCACCGGCCACCGCCAGCGGCGCGGGGCCGCGGGACGATGCGGCGCTGGGACGAGGAAGCGCCGCGGAGAGGGGCGGGCCGGGGCGTGCTGCGCGCGGGGGTGGCGGAGGCGCGCCGGGCGAGGCGGGCAAGACAGGCGAGCGGGCTGCAGCCGGCGGCGGCGCTAGCAGGTACGGCCCGCGCCGCCGCCGCCCGGGGCCCCGTCGGGCTGTGGCCAGCCCCGCGCCGCGACAAAGTTTCTGCGCGCGGCCCCGGAGTTGCGGTCGGGACGGTGCCGCGCCGGCCCCTGACCCGGCGGCGGGGTGGGGGCAGTGCGCTGGGCTCTGTGCGGCGCAGCGAGTCCGGGTCCGCGCCACGCTCCGCATCCGCAGCCATGCCCCGCTGCTCGTCCCGATCCGTGTTCTGCTCCTTGTCCCGCTCCCAGTCCCGCTCTGTGCGCCCCGCGGGTTCCGCTCCGTGCTCCGGAGCCGCGAGCCAGGACAGTGCCCGGGCGTGCGCGCGGGGCGGACCGGGGCGGCTGCGGGGCAGGTCCGGCCCGGACCCCCGTGCGCGCAGCCCCGAAGTTTGCGTGGCGCGCGCGGGCCTTCGGCCGCAGGTGGCGAGGCGCCGGCCCGCGAGGGCGCGGCCGGCAGAGGCAGGTGCGCGGCCCGTGGGCGGCGCTGTGAGCGAGGGGCCGCCGCCGGCCGGCACCGCGAGAGCCGGGTCGGGCCCAGCGGGGGGTGGGGAGCGCGGCGGAGAAATGGGGAACAATGCGAGTGAGCAACTCCAGGAAGTCGTTGTGAAAGAAAGCCGGGAAGAGCGAGGCTGCCGAGTCGGCCGGGCGCTCTAACAAGTGCCTTCGGGGCCCCGCGCCGGGCGGCGACTGCGGCACGGTCCCTGGGTCTCCGCGGAGCGCAGGCGAGCCGGAGGGACGCTTGGCCGCTCCGAGGCGGCCGACCCAGGAGAGCCCGGCGGGGCGGACGGCGTCCTGGCTCCGAGGTTGCTCTTCGAGCCCGAGGATCAGTTTGGGCCCCCAAGTGCGACGCACAAATCCACGTGAGTGTTTTCCGTTGCATTTCAGAAGGAAGACCGGGGGTAGCGGTGGGTTTGAGAGACAGAGACGGGGAGGAGAGACTGGGCGGCGAGCCCCCCAGCCCCCGGCCCCACTCGCCTTCCTGGGGACAGGCGCAGCGCAGGTGCAGGGCCTGGCCCGCAGCCGGGCAGCTCTGAGTGGCCACTGGCTGTCGCCAGGAGGACCGCCTAGCGCCGGTCATGTCTAAATTGATATCTACTTACACAGTGAGATCAGGAGGCCAGCCTTTGTGGAGTCATTCATAGAAGCCCTTTTTCTTGTTTTGGGGGCGAGAGAGTTTGTTTTTACTGCACAATCAATTAGAGCAGAGTCGGAACTGGCTTTCTCCAAGACGGGATCACCCCGGCTTGGAAAGTTAGTGGTGCTTTTGCTGAGGGCGCCGCCGGCTCTCTGGTCAGACAACACCCGGGTCGCCCGGCGTCAGGCTACTCGGGACTGAAGGTGAAGTGTTTTAAAACCTTGCCAGGGATCCCTGGTGTTTCCTAAGGAATCTCCCGAAGGTGTGATTTGTCCGATGTGCTGGCTCGGAGGAGCAGAGCGTGCCGTGCAGTGGGGGGAGCCATGTCGGGGTCTCGCAGGGTCTGACAGGCACAGCTTTCCCACGCGAGACCGCCATCCTCTCCGGGGGCAGCCGGCCCCCCGGGGCGAGCCCTGGACAGGGTGCCAGCCCCGGGCGGCCGCTCTGTCCCCCAGCTCATTCCCCCCGGGGTGTCTCAGCCTCCAGGGGCCTTGTTTTGAACTTGGAAGGGCACAACTGCTGTTGAAGAAGCATCTCCTTTCAAAGAGGAAAAAAAGGGCGAACGTTGAAAATATTTCATGGGCACGATATTGGAACGCTGGTGACAACAGGCGTGAGTGGCCGCAGGGAGCTGGGAGGAGAGGGGACCTGCCGGGAACGGTCGCAGCCTCCTGAATTTGTGTCTTTGTCTCCCAGTGTTCTGTGTGCGTGCTGAGGCTACTGGGACTTGTCTTCTCCATGGGATTTGGAGAGTAACAATTCAACTAGTATTTATATTGAATGTGTCAGCATTGTTTCCGTGACAAATCAGATTATTTGGTTTGTGGCTTAAAATTTAAACAGCGACAAATGTCCATGACAGGAGGATTACCTGCTGGCGTAGTCGAATAGGCAGAACATGCTAAAAAATAACTCGGAGACACTAATAGAAATAATGATGTCACAGTTTAAAATCCTGTGCTAGTCTGGTTTGATATAATGTATCTGATTGCAAAATCTGCCCCCCACACACACACATTTATCCCCTTTTTACCTGGGGGGAGGGAACTGCTTCCTGGTCTAACAGTCTGCCGGCGCTGGTGCCTGAAATACCTCATGGAGTCAAAGTGGCCGTGTTTTCTTCCGTTTTTGTTTTCTGGGGCCGGTGGAGGGCAGGAGTTGTAGCGGCTCTGCCACCGCTGTGTGTGAGGTTCGTCTGTGTTTCCATGAAAGTGCTGCACGCGGAAAAACTACACAGCCCACACCATGCCGGGGCCCCCCAGCAGCCCCGGCCCCCGCTCGGGCCGAGCCCACGAGGCTGTGAGTAAGCGTGCGCGGGGCACGCCTGGCCCTCGGTGAAGGCCCCCCGCCGCCGTCCCTGAGAAGGTGACCTGGGGCCGACCCTGCAGCCACTCCTCTGGTTGAAAAACTGAGGTCACGGTGACTTTTCCGGCCGGAGGCCTGATGCCCACACGTGTGGGGACCGCCGTGCTGTCCTTGCTTGCCTGGAGACGTGGAATTTCAGGACAGTGGTTCTCTGGCGTGGAGTTGTTTTGTTTTGTTTTTCTCTTTCCTTTCCACGCTCGGCTTGGACGTGTGTGTTTCGTGTTTGGCTAATGTGGCGGCCTATTGTCAATCCAAAGGAGAGACTCTTGAAATTTTAGAGAGCACTACGCACATGCTGTCTACCGCGTACCAGAGCTCCCCCCCCCCGCAACCCCCACGCACATGTATTGTGTGTGTGCTTCCAGGATGTGCGTGCGTGAGTGGGTGCAGGAAACACACACACACACACACACGCAGCGTGCAGAGAGAGGCGTCAGACCACCTGGCCTGAGTAATGCAACCCCTTCTCTTCGGTGTCTGTCCGGCTGGTAGTTTTGCACCTGTTCCTGAGACAGGGTGGGCTTTTGCGTGTGTGGTGGTGAGTCTGGGCATGAGCGGGGTGAGCACCTCGGGCGTCTGTCCGCCGCCGCCGCAGGCTCACGCGGGGCCGTGAGGCCAGCCCTGCCCTGGGCCAGGGCCCCTTCGCCTGTGGTCTGCAACCCTGGGACAGGCATGGGTTTTCAGCCTCGTTCTAGGGCAGGGGCTCGGCCGTGGGAGCAGCTCACAGAGAGCGAGCCCCGTGCTGTGTCTCAGACCGGCGGGAACTCGGGGGGCCGTGACTCCTCCTGCTTCCTGCCCCCTACCCCGCCCGGCCCTCAGCACCGCTCCCTGTCTGCCGTCCCCCCACTTGTGTTCCCAGAGCCCCCAGACGTGTGTGCAATGGCCCATTGTCTTGGGAGGAAATACACAAAGTGTAAAAGCCACAAGTGACCCATGCTTACAGGACCAGAGCCGCCGGTCCAGGTCCCACCTCCAGGCAGGGTGTCCTGCTCTGCTGTAAACAGGAGCCGGGGCCCATGGGACGCAGGCCTCCGCGGGGCCGAGCCCCAGGTATCAGCTCTGTGCACCCGTCCGAAGCCCAGGCGGGGGGGGGCAGATAGCACCGGCGCCCGCCGGGGGCTCTGGGCAGCCCTCACCGGCGGTTTTTATCATGGTGTCAGCGCGCCGCGCCCACGGCTCCTTCCTGGGGACCCGCGGTGTGACGGCTGCGCCTTGGCACTTCGTAACTGACTTCCCCCCTCCCGAGCTCAGCCCCCTGCAACCTGGGTTCACGGCCTTCCCGTCCCCATGCCCAGCGTGGAAGGGCTCGAGTTTGACACAGTTTTTAAATGTGTGGTGATGTCCTGACAAATAGTTCTGAGATGTTATGAGTCTTTGAGGGGGAAGGGAAGCAGCAGACAGGAGAAGCTCTACAGACACTTGTGAGTGGAGAGATGGGCCGGCCCGCCCTGCGGGGGGTGGGGCCCCGCCCCTGCCCCCTGCCCCCGGGGCCCCCAGGCCAGGTCTGCCAGCACAGCCCGGGGGGGGGGGGGCTGGGCTGCCCCCTCCCTTCTCACATCTGACTGTGAGGAATGGCTGTGCCCTCAGCCAGCCGCCTGGCGGGGAGCTGTTGGCCCCCGTGGAAACCCCGAATCCCGGGCGCGGGGGCCACCGGTCTTCCCGAGAAGGGCCCGGCCCCCGCGGCCACCTCCCTCGCTGGGGAGCTCTGGATCCTCGCCGCCGCCGGCGGAAAGGGGCCCGCGCTGCGCCACGACCTGTCACACCCGAGGAGCCAATAATCTCTGAAACCGCTCTGGTCAGAGCAGGAAGCTCAGGCTCCCTTCCTGCCCCTGTTTTCCTGACAGAAAACTTTCTTCCCTCCTTTTTTGCATATTTGGCAAATGGTTCCACCTTTCTCTCCGCCCCGGCGGCGTGCGAGGGCGGCAGAGAGGAGCAGGCGGCCGGTGGGACAGCAGGGTCCCTCCCGGGAGGCCGAGTTGAGGGGGCTCTGAGGTCCAGGGACCCCAACTGTCCACGTCGGGACTTGAGTGGGAGGCACAGGCTCACTGGTGAGTGCCCCCCAGCCCGGGCTGCGTGCTGCGCCCACCTGCACGGGGGCCCTGCGCCCCAAATCTGCGGCACCGGGCCGCCCGGAGGGGATGGAGAGAGTCAGGGAGGCCCACCCCTCGCTCTGCTTCTGGGTGGCCCCACGCACCACCTCCCGGTCCAGGGAGCAGTGGGGCCACCACTTCATGGGTGGCTTAAAGGGGCCCTAATTAGTGGGGAGATGCCTTCTCCATCCTTTCTTGCTCAGCGTGGGCCAGGACCCCTTTCCCCCCAGCAATCACTCGCCGCTGAAGGAAATCTGACTTTCTTCCTGCCACGTTCGCGCCAAAAGTGTGCTGTGATGGGCAGGCAGTGGGCGCCGGGCTTGGGGGGGGGGGGACGGGGGGCAGCAAGGGGGCCGCACCACTCCTCAGTTCTTTCCTTTTCTTCCTTCTCCCCCTTCTCCCCCCTTCCTCTCGCGTGTGATGTTTTGCAGAGGCCATTAAAAAAAAAACTGAAAAGGCACAACGTATTTCTAAATGGCCTTATACATATTGAAATAGATTTTTATGCTTCATTTCTGAGATCGCATACTAAACTCGACACTCCGGAGCACTCTCTGTTAGTTCAGAGCTGTTTAAAAATGACCGGCAGCGTGTGGGGGAGAGTCCCTGTCTGAGGCCAGGAGCTCCGCGCCGAGTGCGGATCCGTCAGTTTTGGGTAAATGTGTGTGGTCCCATCAGGTTTTTACCGGCCACCTTGGAGCAAACACGACAGCACACAAGATCCCTCCCTAAAACTAATGGGAAAAGGTTTAATTTGGGATCTTCAGGAGGGATGAACACGAGGGATCGGTCTTTCCTGAGCTTCCGTGGAAGCGTTCTGGAAGGAGCTCCGGAGCCTGTGGTGGGAGCAGAGAGCGGCGGCGGCCCCGGCCAGCCCCGCGGTCAGCCCCGCGGTCAGCCCGGGAAGGCGACCGACCTCCTGCCCTCCCCTGGCGCCCAGTTCTGTGCCGGGCGGAAGATTAAAGTGGCGTTCAGAGAGAGCCACAGCGAAACGTATTGATACACTGTGTATCCCACCCCATTAAATTAAAATCATCCGGCTAATTATCTCAGGTTGTTAGAGACAAGGCAACTAATTACCATTTTAAGAAGATCAGGAGGAGTCTAGGCGTCTCCGAGAGCGCCTTCCGGCTCCTGCCCGGGGTTGTGTATGTTTCCCTGCGTCTGGAGACTGTTCAGATGAATTCAGAGCAGACAAGGCCTTCGTAAAGGAATTGTTAGCAATTCTCTAAAGAAAAAAAAGAAAGAAACCTTAAAGTAAAGCATTGAA